GAGTAATTAAGGTTGTCCTTGAAAACAAAATCAAAAGGGGGTTGCCTGAAAAAAACAAAAATAAAAAAGAAAACGGGGGACAAGAGAATGATGATAGAATGATGTCATTCTATTTAAATCTTACTTCTAAATTTTTGAGAGTTTAAGGCGGACAGTTACAAACAATTGCCACCATCGGTAAAACATGTGTTCCGAACATCTGGCCCTTTGTGATTCCCAAAAGCCATAGATACTTAATTATGTCTGTTCATATACTAGCCACCTTAATTTCAATGCTACTAGGAAAAAAAATCCTGTATCCACTGTTTTAATGCGTATTTATTTCCTGTTAACCATGTCACTAATGAGTATTTGTTCCCCTGAGTAGAAAAATGGAAGATACTGAAGGCATACTCAGCACTCACATGCTGTGGATATAAATTCTCGATGATAATGTATTGAGAGCGGCCTCGATTTGGTCAAACAATCATGATTAGGGAAGCACTAGAATCCATAATAGGAGCCGGAGTAAAGAGAACTGGAGAGATTAAATTCAGACAAGACACAACATAACTAAGAAATAGGAATCAGGTTGCTGTCCAAAACGACAAAGAAAAGTGTTTTGTCACGGCGTAGCAAGGAGGGAAGGAGCAAGGCAAACAGCGGTTTTGTAGGCCCCGAGCTTGAGCTTCAGGGTTCAGCACAAGGAGACAAATTGAGAATCTCCCAAGTTATTTCACAAAGAAAAAAAAATTAATGGGGGTTTGTTCATCAACATCAATGGGGACTTGCCTACCTCGGTTCCCAATGCTTTGAATTTGATTAGACCTTTGCTACAGATAAAGAGGCCTCGAACCACAAACAGAGATATCGGTCTTGCTTTGGCCTTTGGAAAATAAAGGAAAAGGGAAAATCTTTTTTACCGCTTTGGCCTACACTTTCCCACATCTCTGACCACTAAAGACACCATTTTGCCCTGACTAAGGGTCCCATGAACCCCAAGGTAATTGCCAATTTGGCTCATAATTAACAATCATGATTAAGGTTTTCTGATTCTCTCAACATAATATACAAGGATCTGATTCTTCTTCGCATTAATTTAATTTAGTTTAATACATACAACAAAAAAAAAAAAAGATGAGCTTTCTACAAAGGATAATTCAATTTCTGGTTCTTGGAGATCAATCCATTCCATTGTACATCATTTATGAAATTTTCCCGCTTTTTCCTTTTTGGGATTGTTGAGCTGAACCTTGCAGTAGCAGAGATTCAAAGCATCAGTCTTTCTTCTCTTCTTTTCCTTCATTTCTTGACAAATCAATGGACTTTTCATGGGACGGATCACTGACAGACCTTGGCAACGTTGAAGACTCTGAATCTGCAGGTAAAACCCAGATGGAAATTTTTTTTAAAAAAATGAAACATGGAAATGTTTTTTCTTTTTTCTTTTTTTGGTTTAATTTAAATATTAAAGAAAACCCAGTTGAAAAATCTTAAAAAAGATTCGAACTTGGAAATTTTAAGACGGTATTTTCTTTGGAGTTGATATGGGGAAAAATACCTCGGGAGCCATTGAAGGACCTTTTGCAGTGCAAAATGGCACTTTGGATTCCATCCTGTTGCTGCAACAGTGAATCGTCTCTCCTCTGGGACAGAACGGGGGATGGCGCCGCTGCAACGGAGGAAGCCGATCTGCTCTTTCCCAAGTGCTTACACACCACTCTCAGTCCAGCCGGGATATTCCCTTGTTTTTGGCTCTTCATGTTCGTCGGATTATCACTGCCTTCTGCCTCTGGTTGCGCCTTCTCCGCTGTGGACTTTGCAGATGGCGGTTTCTGCGCCGCCGTTGACGATGGGGCTATGGGCTTTAAGCTGCCCAGGTTTAACTGACCCGAAAACCGGAGTTTCTCCCCGTACCGTCTGGAAACCCGAACATAAAGCGGCTTAACCTTCTTCAGATACTTCTGCATTACATCTTTGGAGAATTTCTTCTCGTCGGAAACAGATTCCTCGGCGGTCTGCTGCTTCAGAGACTTGCTGTTGTCTCTGGTGAAAAGAGACACAATCGGAACCTCCTCCACCTTAAATTTCACCGTAAAAAACTTGTTCCTGTTGCTTCCATTGTTGTTCTCTTCTTGGGTTCCGTCCCGTTTCTTCGGATCCACAACAGCGGGAGACCCATTTGTAGCCTCTGTTTTCTCGCTGGCATTTTTTGATTTCTTGAACCTCAACAGGAAAACACGAAACTTGGTGGCCGACTTCAGCAGAGACACCGGAAATTGGGACGGCTTCGAGTCCAGCGAGGAGTTGGGTTCAATCGGCACCAGCCTCCCTTTAAAGAACAAATCGTCTGATGGCGAGAGCGCAAGACTCGGGTCGGAGCGGTCGTTGCTCGAGCCAGACGAAAGCGTAAAGTTAAACTCCCTCTCACCGTCAGACTCCGCCTCGTTTTCCTCTTCCTCTCCTTCCTCTCCGTTAATCTCTTGTTCATTCTTCTCATCGTTCTCCCCTGTTTCCTCCTCTGCTTCGTCTTCATCAGGAACCGCGAACTCCAAATCAAAGAAAGGCCCATCATCACCACCACCACCACCATCATCATCATCATCATCTTCATCAGTATCCACCGCTTGATGGGTACTAACTGCGGTGACAATAGTGGTGGTTAGAGAGGCAGTCAGGGGATTAGCAGAACCATCTCCGCTACTGCCACCTCCACCTCCACCCCCACTCCCGCTCACGCCGCCACCCCCACCACCACCAACAACCCCCAAACCACCTCCTCCCCTCCAGTACTTGAGCAAGCTAAAAGCTTCCATAGTTGGGAGAGCCAGAATAGTGTTGTGTGAGTGCGGGAATGATGGAATTTTAGAGAGCAGAAGGGTAAAATAGAAAGGGAAAGTGAGGGAAAAAGAGAAGGAAAAAAAGGGAAAAATTTTAGTGAAGGCAACAGAGGAAGGTATGCTTTTTTACTGTAGAGCAATGGGGGTGTTGGCTTTAATTTAGGTCGTCATGTTTTTTGCATGCAGGTTAGTCATGTGAGTGCAGTCAGCAAAGTCAGAAAACAGGGAGAGCAGAGTACGGTTCTATTCATATACCAATGTGAATGTACTACTACCCCTCACTCGTTCATTCATTTAATAATTTAATAACTTTACCAACAACTTTTACTTTTCACTTCTGGCGCCTGGTATGGGGAATAACCCAAATAAAGTCTCTAGTAAAAGAAACTGGATCTTTACTTACCTGCTACTTATATGCGGTAGACATAACATATCCCACGCACAGCATTTCTCTTGCACAGAAACACTGTATACAATAAGCTCATTTAATTGGCTTCATAACTTTGTTTCGTTTCATGTTTTAATTCTCAAACTCAACTTAATTTATGCTTATATGACTTTTATTGAATAAGGTGCAAACTTAATGTTGAGAGGCAAGTGGCTAACATGACATGCTTTATCTCTATGCTAGTTCTTAAGTTGGACCGGGATGATGGGAAGAAATCTCCAGGAAGAGGGGGGGAAAAGTGAAGAAAAAAAAAGGTTAAAAGGGTGAACTGAAAAGCAGGGGATGGAGGGACTATCAACTATGGAGCTTTGCCTATGTTGAAGAAAGAATCAACCTACATTTACTCCCTTTTACAGAGGAAAAAGACTTGAGTATGAGCTCCCCACACCTGCAACCGTTGTATTTATTTGGCTAAACACCTGCTCTGTGTAGTAAAGTCACGTGGCTTGCATGCAGGGGGCAGGGGATAGGGGGGTCTACTCTTTCACAAGAAAAAGCTTTGACTTCAAAGCTCCAGTCCCATTTCTTACCCCATTGAGGTAAACATAGCTCCATACTTTTCCCTAAAGAGAAGTCTCTGTTGAAGTAAGTTCCCCTTATTGAGTTGGGGTAAAACTGTGAGTAACAACAGTCTGATGACATGGAAAAAATAGAAGAATGATGAATAGTTTAAATATTTCTAAATTCATAAAATCAATGAATTGCATGTCAAAGCATGTAATTGACTACTAATTTGTCTCCCCCACGAACCAATAAGCGTAGCACAGCCAATAGTCTTTCAGTTTTAGGCCAAGACTAATAAGCAAAGGATGTATGTTACAAAAAAAAATTTTTAAAATAAATTGAGAATTACTCTTACTGAAGAACCGACTACAACTTAACGCAACTTTTAAGTGAACATGTGAAGAAGAGAGTGTTGAAGTAAGTCCTTGATCTCTGTTTTTTTTGTTGAAGATAGTATCAAAGTGTGTAATAAGCCACCAATTTATATCCTTGCTAATGACTTCCCATCAGTGTCCAAAAACTGAGAAAAGGTCCACACCTGGGGCGTAAAGACTATACCTTGTTGCTCTCTTCTCACTTTGACCCAGAAAAATCAATCAAGATAATGAAGAGGAGATGATAGCAACCGTGGGATGAGCTTACAACGCCCATGGCTACGGTGTTGTAGTAAATATGGGCAACTGTTTTTAAAAGGGTCCCATAAGGCCATAAAATAAAAGTGACATAACAATACCAAAACTTCAATGCACCTAACCACCACTCTCCTTTTAAAGAGAAGAATTCATCAAGATTTCGCATGGTTTCTTTTCCCACTGCTGGCTGGTGAGGCAGTAGCAATTAATTAAAGCATCAATGGGTTTTTGGGAGCCTAATTATGGAGATGTATCCCACTATAATGAACTCTACCCTTTATCCAATCAAGGGTAACCTTCTTATTTCCATTGCCCTAAGCCCAACACTTTTTCTAAAAGGGAAGCATTCTTTCAGAAGAAAGCAAGTCAAAAAAATACTCAACAACCTAGGTAGGGTAGCTAACAGGTCGCTCTTTTACTACCCATAATAATAAATTGAGTTTAGGGAAACCATGAAATTACTCCAATTATAGACTCTTTATGGCATGTAGACTAAAGCAATTAGGTATTTGGGTAGCATTACTTTTGTTACAAAAGGGGTGTTAATGTTATCCACTAATTAAGGTTTTTTAATTAATTTTGGGGGCTGAAGCAATACAAGTTTGAAAGTTGAAGATGATGACCCACATTCAATAGCAATCTAGTTGGATGTTGTATTCATCATAATAGTAATAAAAGTTTGTATAAAACTACAATGACAATCAAAACTTTGGCGTTTTCCTGAGGCGCGCACTTTTGTTTGTAAAGTTAAAGGTGGTGATGACACTGTTTTTTGCTCTTTTGTTGTGGACAACAACGAGAATCTCTTTGCTTTCTCAGGTTTAAGACTTCCAATTCCATTTCTTGGGTTCTTTGTGGACCCATTTAGTTTTTTAAAATGTAATATTACAGAAATGATTTTTTATATTATATTTTAATATAATTTTTATATATTATTAAATGAGTATATATCAG